CACATCCCTCTAGTTGCTGTATGTGGGACGCGGCCTCAGCATGGCTGGAGAAGTGGTGCGTCAGTGCGCGCCCGGGATCCGAACCCGGGTCGCCAGCAGCGCAGTACGCACACTTAACCACCAAGCCACGGGGCCGGCCCCTCATGGAACAATCTTTATAGCAGTCTTTCTATATCTCTGTTCCGTTAGCTCAGTGCCAGTTGTTGCTTTGGTTACAGTGTTCCTGTTTTGGCAGGTTTTTTAGGGATCTTAAACAACTGTGCTGCTTTTCTGACTGTATTCTTGTGGGATTTTATTTTCCTCCCATGTAATGCTACCAAAACGTTGAAAAAGACAGAAAAAAAATTACATCATATTTATTTGTTTCCAAAGCAGGAGAAATTTTAGTTTAATAAAGAAAATGGTTGTCATCTTCTGAAATGCTTTTGAAGAGGTAGAAGTCTATCATGATCTACTTATGAAATTATCCTTTCTGTTATGTGGTCTTTCATCTCATTTTGTATTACAGTTTATGAAGTTGGGAAATTTCATATAACGTTAAGTGATTTGTTGAAGGTGACAGTGACAATTTGTAGAAAAATTATTCTTAGAATATTGACTATCTCATTTAAAGAGAAGACATTATCTAGAAGACATTGCTACCTTTTCAGTACAAGTTTATCTCTTTCTGGCATGGTATTTTTTCAAATGTGCTTAGTCTGTCTCTTTAAGATCTCTTGCACTTGCCAGAGAATATTTCTCACCTGCAAAATTGGTGTATCTGGAGATCTACCAAAGTTAAGTAGTGGCAGGATGACCTGTTGCAGAGTATAGAATGGGGAGGGAAGGGCCTGAGACCTGAAACTGGCCTGCCACTAAGCACCTGTGGGACTACGCTCTTGGTACCTTAGTTTCCTTAATTGTAGAATGAGCATTGTAATATTTATTCTACCTATGTTGTGATGACAAAATAACATTACTGGATGTGAAAGCCGTTTTAAACTTTGCTATCTAGGGAGAAAACATCTCCATGTAGTATACTGTTTCCACAGATCAGGGTGGGACATTGCAATGAATGTAGACCTCCCAAGGACATGGAGTACCAAGAATGGGTCTGGTTTTGTAAAGAGAGAGGTTGGGTAGGTGGTGTGAGGAGACAAAGAGAAGTCCTAGAGCTGATCCTGGAGCATTAAGAAAATAGGCACACAAAGCACACAGTTCCAAGATGAGCAGTGAATTGAAGTATTCACATTGTATTTGTCAGGATTACCTGTGGGATGAGAAAGAGGATCCTATTAAGGATAATTTATGATTTTGCTGATTTAAACTATGCAAAAGTTGTGATTTGCAGCAGAGAGTGGGGAGCGAGGTGAATGAGGCGAGAAGTTAACTGTTCGCTGCTGACTTAAAACCGTAAAGCTTCCCAGAGACCACAGTGACCCAGGGACTAGCAAAAAAGGAGTTTTTTCGAGGGCAGTATTCAGGGAGACTTTAAACTTGAGGATAATGTGTGCAGGTGCCTCTTGGCAAGATTGATGAACCTGCTTATTGGTACAGAAAGATAGCATAGATGCTGGTTTCCCAATGCTAACCTGCAGGGTGGCAGCAGTCATGCCGAGGTTTTATCAGTTCCCAGTAAAATTAAAAATAAGAACAAGGTAGTGACTTTTTCATAAAGCTGTATTCATGCTATATAAAGAATGTCTCTGATTCTGAGGATTTTTCCTGTTTTTCTTGGATATAAATAACTTTTCTTTTATGAAATAATGATGGTAGATAGTGGGTTTTTAAAAACGTCCTTACTTAGTAAAGTAAAAAGATAGCATTCATTGGTCATTCTGCTTACCTGCTTTTAAACTTTATTTTACTGCTTAAAGAAAACCAGATTTTTCTTTAATTGATATTAATGGTTATTTGCAAATAACCATTGTCATTTGGAAAAAGCATGAACTTTAAAATCAGACATTTTAAAGTTTGAATCCCTGCTCTGCCATTTATTCTGTGTTGTCTTGGACCTTGGAAGTTGTCTGTGAACTTCTCTACTCCTCAGTTTTCCTGTCTTTCAGTAGGGAACAATTAACAACTACCTTGAACATTTTGTTGGGGAGGATTGGACCTCACGTATATGAAGCCCCTAAAATAATGCCTGGTTCGTAATAGGGACTTACTAGATGACTGCAGTAGAGAAATTATTTTTACCACAATAAAAAAATACAGATTTCTTGGCATCATTCCTGAAACCTATCAAATTAGGATATCTGAAGATGAAATCAAAAAAATTTATTTTTTAAATTGGGATAAAATACGCATAACGTAAAATTTGCCATCATAGCCATTTTTAAGTGTACAATTCAGTAGTGTTTTGTACATTCACATTGTTGTGCATCCAATCTCCAAAACTCTTTTCATCTTGCCAGAACTGAGACTGTATATGCATTTAACAACTCCCATTTCTCTCTGCTCCCCAACTCTGCAGCCTCTGGCAACCACCATTCTACTTTCTGTCTCTTTGATTTGACTACTCTAGGTACTATCTTCATATAAATAATATGTAAATAATGCTGTCTTCATATAAATGGGATCATATAGTATTTTTTTTTGTTATTGGCTTATTTCACTTAGCATAGTATCCTCACGGTTTATCCATGTTGTAGCATGTGACAGGATTTCCTTCCTTTTTAAGGCTAATATTGCATTGTATGTATACCATGTTTTCTTGATCCATTTGATGGACATTTGGGTTGCAAGCATATGCATTTTTTTCTGTTGCCCTTAACCCTCTGTATTGATTTCCAAGGGCTGCTATAACAAATTACCACAAACTTAAAACAAGAGAAATTTATTCTCTCATAGTTCTGGTGGTTAGAAATCCAAATCAAGGTGTTGGCTCCCTCCGAAGGCTCCAGGGAAGAATCCTTCTTTGCCGCTTCCTAGCTTCTAGTGGCTCCAATCAGTCCTTCAAGTTCCATGGCTTGTAACTGTATCACTCCAATCTTTGCCTCTGTAGTCACATGATCTTTCTCACTGTGTGGGTCTCTGTGTGTGTTTTTCTCTTATAAGGGCATTAGTCATTGGATTTAGAGCCTGCCATAATCCAGTATGACCTCATCTCAACTAATTACATCTGCAGAGACCCTGGTTCCAAATAAGGTTACATTCTGAGGTTTCTGGTGGACATGAATATTTGACCCACTGCACCCTCTAAAATATAATCCATTTGTAAAACATTTTTAAACTTTTGGCAGCTCGGGCTGCCACAACCAAATACCATAGGCTGGGTGGCTTAAATAACACAAATTTGTTTGCTCACAGTCTAGAGACTGGAAAGTTCAAGATCAAGGTCGGGCAGGGTTCAGTTTCTGGTGAGGGCTCTCTTCCTGGCTTTCAGAGAGCGGCCTTCTTGCTGTGTCCTCACATGACAGAGAGAGAGAGAGAGCATGCAATCTGTCTGGTGTCTGTTCTTATAAGGGCACTAATGCCATCAGACCAGGGTCCCACCCTTATGACGTCATCTACCCTAATTAGCTCCCAAAAGCCCCATCTCCAAATACCATCACATTGGGAGTTAGGGATTTACCTGAATTCGAGGGGACACAGATATTCAGTCCATAACAACATTCAAAACCAAAATACATATTTCACATTAGGCAATATTTTAGGAGTCAGTTATTTTTAAAAACAATGATAGGTAATTGTAATTGTGTGTATACACACATAAAACTTGCTTATGTTGTCTTGGGAAAAAATTACATAATATTCATGTTTATTTAATAATTTAAACATTCATGTTTTGTTTTATTTGATCTAATATTTTTGCCCCCAAATAAACTATAAAGCATTATTGAATGGTATTTTAAGTATTTAAGCAGAGACCTTTTCTGATTTACATTTTTTGTCGTAATCTATCATCTCTTTCATTTCCTGTTATTTACTTTAGACTTTTTTATTAAAATGTAGTCATCAGAAAAGTGTATATATATCATAAGAGTGCAGCTCAATGAATTTTTCACAAAGTGAGCAAACATGGATAACCAGCATTCAGGTTAAAAAAACTAGAATCTTAGCAGCATCCCCTAAGCCTTCCATATGCCCCCTTTTCGGTTAACAAGTTCCCCCAGGTAATTCTTTTATGTATACCAACAGTTTGAGAGCCACTTCCACTGGCACCTGGATTTGTAGCGGGTGTTCGTGTAGATTTCTTATGTATCAGGTGTTGTTTCCACAATGCACACTCATTCACAGGCTTTTGTATATGCTGAAAACTGCTTGGAGCAGTTTTCCTTTTGCTTTCCCACTCCTTTTGTACATCTTCCACACCTCCTTACCTCTAGTCTTAACACCTTCCCGTGACAACTTCTTTTCGGGTCTTCGCTGAGACTCCTTCCTTTAAAAGGGAGCATTTCTTGACTCCTCCATCCCTTTTTCCCTTCCCAGTTCTGAGTTAATTGCCCCTCCTATGTGTTTTCATTGAATTCTCTGTTTCTTCTCTCATTTATCATAGTACATTCTAATTGCTGCTATTCTTATCTTTATCGCCCCATCAGACCATAAATATCGAAAGGTCAGACAGTGCAGTATTTGCTTCACTTTTTTTAACCCCAGTACTTTGCACAGTGTCAGTATGTAGTGGATAATATTTTTGTTGTTATTAATGCTATTAATGCTATTAATGTTATTAATCAAGTCGATTCCAACTCCTAACGACCCTCTGTAGAGCAGAGCGGAACCCTGTCTGGTCTTTCTATGCCATTCTCTCGCCTTCTGGCATTATATCAGAGAATGCTGTGCTGCTATTCATAAGGTTTTCATGGCCAGTTTTTTCGGAAAGGGGTGGCCAGGTCCTTCTTCCTAGTCTGTCTTAGCCTGGAAGCTTCGCTGAAACCTGTCCACCATGGATGAGCCTGCTGGTATTTGAAATACCAGTGGCGTAGCTTTCAACATCACAGCAACACACAGCTGTCACAGTATGACAGCCGACAGACAGGTGGTGTGGTTGATTCCCTAACCAGGGAATGAATCTGGGCCATGGTGGTGAGAGTGCCGAATCTTAACCACTAGACTACCAGAGGTGGCTAGTGGATGATATACATTGAATGATAGTAAACTCACTATATTTTAGTATTGGAAAGGGTACTAGAGTTCAGCTAGTCCAGCCCCTCATTTTATAGATGAGGGAACTAAAAGCCTGAAATTTATTATTAGTAAGGGCTCAGAAAAAGCCAGTGGTCAAAATATATAGTATTTGTCTGTGATGAAAGAGAGTGGTGGGGAAAGGACACTAATATTCAGTATCTTTAGGAGATGTTCTTCACTTGAATCACAGCTAGACAAAATTATTTCATTTGCAGTTTTTCTAATATTCTAATTTCAGCTCTGACTAGAGTATTCTATCATCCCATTTCTGTTCTCTCACTCTCACTGATTCTGTTCTTTATTTGCCCCCTTGGTGATTTATAGTTTCTAACACCCCTATATTCATTATTTATTGCTTCAATTTAGCTTGCTAACCAGGCTAGGTTCCTATGATTATTCGTTTAAGAGGTGTGTTCTCATTTCCAACCAAGAATGCCCCACTGGCACCTTGGACTCGGCATGACTAACAGCTAAGTACTTCATTAACAACAGCCTTCTATCCTCCCATCTCCACCTCTCTCCCAGCCCGTCACCCACATGATTGCCTTTTGATTTTCCTTTCTCATATTTCATTTTCGCCATCCCCCAAACTTGAAATTTCAAAGATGCGGTAGACTTCCCTACCTCTTGTCCATTGTAGTCAATCAGCATCCAGTTTCTTTTCAGTGTTTCAAAATCTCTTGTATCTGTCTTGTTCTTTATGTTCTCATTGCAACTTCCTTGTTCAAGCTATTTTTTTAGCTATTGCCAAAGCTGATTTATTTTATTTCCTCAAATAACTTAGATATGATATTTAGAAAACATCAATTATTTTTCTATTACCAACCAAATAAAATAAAATAAAAATTTCACAGAATGCTATTCAGGGTTGTCGGTGACCAGACCCTTATTTGCCTGCTCCACATTATCTTTTATTAATTTTTTTTTCATGTACACAACATTCCAGGCAATAGAGTCTACATACCCCTCCTTAAGCATACTCTGTAGTTTTCCTCTGTTATTTCTTTGTGTATTCTGTTGTGGTTTTTTTTAATTTTTGCCAAAAAATGCTATCTTCACGTGAATAAATGGTTCTCATCCTTCAAAGTCTGGCAAAGTCATCTAGCTCCGTCATCAGTCATCTAGTTCCCAAATTCTGGTTCCCAGGTGGCTGCCAGGCTGACTATATCAGAAGCATCTGAAGAGCTTTGAAAAATACAATAACCAGGCCCTCAGTCTGGTCCAGCTGAATCAAAATTTTAGGAGTTGAGATCTTGTTGGCTACATTTTTATAAAAAAAGATTTTTCAGCCAGCTTTAGGAATCCCTTCTTTCACCTATCCTCTTCGTCTTAAAATTTATGAAATTGAGATACAGAGGAGAGAGCAGAGTTCCTCAGAGTTACTCAAATAGTATTTATTGGGTAACTTATTTCAATGATAAGTAAAGATGGAGTGATAAGAATTATTCCCTGGGAACTGGAACAAAGACTATTGTTAACATTGTTTTAAATTTTGGAATATTAATAAATGATCTGAAACAATATTTTCTGTTACTCTTATACTGAGCACCATGTGTGGTATACGAGTGGTATCTCAATAGTCTTCAACAGTCACAAAGAATGTATTAGAAAACTAAATCATAAAAATTTACTTATTCACTTATTCAACTTATAGTTCTTGAACATCTATCTGTCTAACACCTGTGCTAGATGCTGCAAGTTACAGCAGTGAACAAAACAAACTTGGAACTTTCCCTCAGAGATCTTAAAATCTGATGAGGAAGCAAACATTAATTATATAAAAAAAATAAAATTTAATGAGTGATAAAGTAATTGGCCCAAAGTCACACAGCTTATCTGTAGCAGAGCTGGGTTTTCATCTCAAGACTATCTAATTTTAGAAGCCCACATTCGTTCCATGTTAACCATGATGCCACCAGGTTGCCTAAAGGCAACTAATGTTGATTGAGCTCCTCTTCCTCTCTTAAGTGCTAGGTCAGTTATAAGGGTTCTCTCATTTGCCTGTGAGGTTGGTGCTATTATTTTCACCATTGGGCAGATAAGGAAACTTAGTTTCAGAGAGGTTGAGTAATTTGCCATGGTTTTGGCTACTCCAGTGCTAGTGCTTGGATTCTGATCTAGGTCTGACTCCAAAGTCTATAAAAAAGGAGTAACAAAAGCTTGTAATACAATCAACAAAGCCAAAAGTTGGTTATTTGACAAGATTAATACATTAAATTGACAAACACTGAAAAAGACTGATGAGGATAGGAAAAAACTCTTTTTAAAGAGGCACACATTACAAGTATTAAAAATGAGAAAGGTGACCTAATTATAGTTCCAACAGAGACTAAAAAGTTAGTAAGAGAGAACGTTAGGTATAACTTTATACTAATAGATTTGAAAATTTATATGAAATTGAGAAATTTCTAAACAATTTACCAAAAATAACACTTGGAAAATTAGAAAATCTGAATAGTTCTATTGACAAAATTGAATTTATCGTTAAATACTTTCCCTCAAAGAAAACTCCAAAGACAGATAGCTTCATTGGTGAATTTATCCAAACATTTAATAGATAAACCAATGTTGTGTAAACTCCATCCAAGAATTGAGAAAGAGGGAACACTTACCTGATTATTTTATGAGGCCAGTGTAAACTTACTATCAAAACAAGGATATTATGAGGAAAGATATTAGCTGTCTCTTGAAAAGTGGTGCAAAAATACTTAAAAATATTAGCAAATGTAAGTTAGGGTTAGCTAAAAAATTATTCTTCATAACTAAGATGGCTTTAGTCTAGAAGTGCAATGTAATTTCTTTAATAAAGGAAAAAAATTGGTCATCTCAATATGCACAGAAAAAGCATTTAATAAAATTCAATATCAAGCTGTGATTAAAAATACTCTTAGCAGGCCAAGTATAGAACTTTCTTTTTTGTGTGTGTGTGTGAGGAGGATTGGCCCTGAGCTACCATCTGCCAATCCTCCTATTTTTGCTGAGGAAGACGGCCCTGGGCTAACATCCATGCCTATCTTCCTCCACTTTATATGGGACGCCGCCACAGCATGGCTTGCCAAGCGGTGCGTTGGTGCGTGCCGGGATCCGAACTGGCAAACCCCGGGCCGCCGCAGCGGAGTGCGCGCACTTAACTGCTTGCACCGCCGGGCCGGCCCCTAGAACTTTCTTAATCTGAGCAAGAGTATCTTCAAAAATCTCAGTATCAAAATACTTAAGGCCGTCTGCCTGAGATTAGGAATGACACAGGAATACCACTCATCACTTTTACTCAGCAGCATACTTAAGATCCTAACCAGGGTAATAAGAAGAAGCAGTAAAATGTAGAAGAATTGAAAAGGAAGAAATAAAAATTATTCAGAGATAACACGATTGTGTATATAGAAAATTCAAAACAATCTACAGATAAGCTATCAGAATTAATAACTGAATTTTGAAAGTTTGGTAAAATTTAATATATAAAAATTACTTGTATTTTTAATATACAAGCAACAAAAAATTTTTATTACCATTTCTAATATCAAAAAACATCAAATGTGTAGTAATAATTCAAATTAAAGACATGTAAGACTTCTTCAGAAAATCTATAACATTATTAAGAGAAATTAAAGAAGACCTGATTCAGTGAAGAGAAATACCATATTTATGGATTGGAGAGTTCAATATTATAAAGATTTCTATTCTTTCGAATTGTATCTGTAGATTTAATGCAGTCTCAAAATTTCAGAAGCTTTTTTTTTTACTGGAAATTGTCAAGCCCATTATAAAATTTATATGGAAGTACCATGAACCAAGAGCCTGTACCAAATTGAAGAAGAACAGAGATGGGGGACTATCAAAATTAATTCTAAAACTATAATAGTTTACACAGGTAAATTGATATAAGGATAGACAAATAATATAGAATTGTGGGTCCAGAAACAAACACAATAATGAAAATTTGACTTATTACAAAGGTAGCCCTTGAGAGCAAGAGGGAAAAGATTTTCATTTGCTTGCTTGTTTTTTCAAGTAAATTGTGCTAGGTCACTTGGATATTCATATAGAAAAACACTGATCTTGGCTCCTGTCTCACATATACAGAAACTAATTCCAGGTGGATTGTGTATCTAAATGTGGAAGGTAAACCAGTAGAGTTTCTGGAGGATAACTTCATGAATGAAAAACATCTTCATGAATGTGGGATGAGAAAATTTTTTTAAACAGGATACATTGAAAGTGTTAACCATAGAGAATAAAGTTGATAAAATGTACTACATTCAAATTAGGAACTTCTCTTCCTTAAAAGAATTAAGAGTGGGAGAACATGTTTGCAATACATATAATCAAAGTGATTATATCCAAAGTATATAAACAACTTCTGCAAATATGTAAAAGATGAAAACAACCAATGAGAAAAATGGGCAAAAGAGATGAACGTGCACTTCACAAAAGAAGCTGTCCAAATGGATAATTAACAAACAAGAAGGGATAACTTCTGAGTCATCACAGAAATGTAAATTAAGACCACAGTCCGTTTTTTATCAAAAAAATAGATAAAGAGACTGATCATTCTAAATTTTGGCAAGGTTGTAGAGCACCCACAACTCTCATATATGACTGATGGGGGTGTAAATTGGTACAATGACTATGGAAAATTGGCAGTATCTACAAACACTAAGCATACCAAGTACCTATGATCCAGCATTTCTGCTCTTACCCAGAGAAATGCATTATGCATATATGTTTACTAAAACTGTGTGCTAGAATATTCGTGGCAGCATTATTTGAAGTACCTAAAAAGTGGAAATAACTCAAATATACATCAACAGTAGGTTGGATAGATAAACTAAGGTAAATTTCTATGCTGGAATACTTCACAGCAGTGAAAACGAATCAACTACTGTTACATGTGACAACATGGATGAATTTTACAAATAAGATATTGACTAAAAGGAGCCAGACACAAAATAATACTTACTTTATGGTTCCATATATGTAAAATTCAAAAACAGGCAAGACTAATCAGTGGTATTAGAAGTCATCATAGTGATAATATTTGGAGAGACGCAGTTAGGAAAGCCACACAAGAGTCAGAGGTGCTGATAATATTTGGTTTTACGGTCTAGGTTGTAGTTATTTAGGGAGGTTCACTTTGTGATAATTCATAAAGCTGTGTTTACGTAATTTGTACACTCCTCTGTATATATGTTAAGGAATTTTATTGCAAATAATCATTATTTTGTAGTTTCCCAACTCATGAATAATATATTTATATCAAGCTATGAATGTAAATAACTGTCATTAATTGAAAGAGCAGTCAGGTTAATTGGCAAGCTTAAAATTACATCTAGAATTATAAGTATTATAAATTGTAATTATTATAAATATTGCTATATTAGATGCTTCTTTAATAATGAGCTATATATGTTTCTGTTTTGAAAAGTTTTTGGAAGTTAATAATTTTTGGAATGGGAAATTATGAATACTGGTCCATTTTTGCCAGATCTTTCGGGTGGAATATGACTTGAAATGTTTTTCAATTAACGTACACATATATTGTAAGTGTATATATTATATATATATATATACTGTTTATATATCTTACAATGTATGTGTACTGAAACCCTATAGGATGTTGGGAAGCTATGCTTTTCAGATCCTTTGAGGATAGTAAAGGCAATAAATATAAATATAATTTTACAGTACTGTCATGATGTTTTGGTCAATGACCGACTGCATATACAATGGTGGTCCCATACGATTAGTACCATATAGCCTAGGTGTGCAGTAGGCTGTACCATCTTAGGTTTGTGTAAGTACACTCTATGATGTTTACACAATGACCAAATCACCTAATGATGCATTTCTCAGAATGTGTCCCCATTGTTAAGCAATGCATAACTGTATATACCTATATTCTAGTTTTCTAAGGCAAAATATTCTTTGAGGTTGTTTAAGTAGCACTTTCTTGAATTATATAGACACTTGAATAGTGATAGGGGAAATTTCTTTGCAGCTGCCTAATTTTGATTCTTGATCTCTACTAAAAAGTAAAAAAATTATTATCACTTTGGAGAGAAAGGAAAAAATAGAACAACAACCAAAGCAAGGTGAAACACTCCATGTTTTCAGTTAATAATTTTATGTGAAATAGTTTTCCTCCAGTTTTCTTTGTTAGTATGCTGATAGAGGATTGACAGTATATACTAGAATTAAAGGCTATTATAACCATGTTAAATTAAGCTTTTTTCATTAAAACATTTTAATTTGAAACAGTGTTCATTTGCTTCTCCTTTTTGTTTAATTAAAAAAAATCTAAAGTGGTATCATTACTCACCAGCCGTGTTTCTTGCTATTTTCTTTTTTTTTTTTTTTTTAAGGTGTTATGGAATCTTTGCTGAGAAATATTCCTGGAGATTACATTAGGACTTCAAGTTCCTCATTTACTATCTTTGCCTTCCATTTCAAAAGAATTATCTTCAAGAATATTCTTGATCATGATTTCCACATGCTGCCTTTTTTTCTGCCTTGAGTCCTTCAACTCTTTTTTATGTTGTTGTCTTGCTATTTGCTTTAAGCTGATTCTCCTTTGCCTCTGTGTGCGTGTATGTGTATCTGCAGCGTGTGCTATTACTAATACCAACAGATTTCAGAAGTAACCTTTTGTCTTATTTATAAACCTAACAGTTAAGAAAATAAGTTAATGAAATAATTTAACTCTAACTGTGTGTCTCTAACAACAGACACTGCATCATGAATGAAAGAGGAATTTCAACTATTTGGGCCTGGAGATACATGTTGGGGTACTAGATTTTGGTGTGATAATTCAGTCATTACTTAGTGACAAAACCAACAACCTATTTATATTACTATGGACTTAATGGACTCACAGATAGTGTTTGTACTACCTACCTCATCACGTTCCTCTCTCTGCTTCAATCTCTCTGCTCCAGCCACCATCATGGTTTTCTTGCTGTTTCAGTAGCTACCAAGCATCGTTCTACCTCAGCACTTCTTCTCTCTCTTCTTTTTTTTTTTTTTTTTTTGGTGAGGAAGATCAACCCTGAGCAGACCTCCTAGCAAAAGATACCTACAGGTGGAAGCTGAAAGAAACGTTTGTTCTTTTTTTCTTTTTGTGAGGAAGATTAGCCCCGAGCTAACATTTGATGCTAATCCTCCTCTTTTTTTTTAATTTTTTTTTTTGGCTGAGGAACATTGGCCCTGGGCTAACATCCGTGCCCATCTTCCTCTGCTTTATACGGGACACCACCACAGCATGACTTGACAAGCAGTACGTCGGTGCACGCCCGGGATCCAAACCTGCGAACCCTGGGCTGCCGAAGCAGAGCGCACATGCACTTAACCACTACACCACTGGGCTGGACCTACCTCAGCACTTCTGTTGATACCTCTGCTCACATCTCTATTTCCCCATATCCTCTTTAGACTCCATCCCTCATTATATGCAGGTCTCTGTTTAAAAATCACCTCAGAGATGCGGTCTCTGACTCTTCTCTATAATTATCTCCATCATTCTCTATTCTTATTCCCTGCTTCATTAATTATAGCATTTATCACTACTTGATATTTTGTTATATTTATTTTTTATATGTTTCTCAGTAAATATAAGTGCCATGAGGGCAGGGACTTAATTGTTTACTACTATATTTCCCACACCTAGAGCCAGGACAGACACATAGTAATGCAATGTATAAATATTTGTAGTTTGAATAATGAATGAATGAAAGAAAGAAATATAGTGAATAGTAGGTGTCAGTCTGTATGGTTTAGCCCTCATTTAACTGCAGAA